GAAATTTGCTGAACCATCGTTGACACTTATGAACGTTCAAAACATTTCCATAAACTCCTTTGATATTCTTTATGGCTATAGAGGCATTGTTTCCCTTCTTGTACTCAAACAGCATTACATGCCGAATGTGTGTCTCGTCGTGTGCCATCACTATAAGGGATTAGAGTATACTAAACTTTACACATTATATAGGCTATACTAACGTGACGTCTAGGCGGTTCGTTTAACTATTATAAGTGATGTATATTTTTGGGGGATTGGTTAATGAAAGTGTTCCAAAACGCGATATTAATTTCTTGACGACCTAATATTGTTTTTCAAAATGGCGTTTTGTGCCTGCTGACATGATATTCAAATAAAAATGTTTGGTCGAAAATACCGATGAATCAATGCACCAGATTTCTTAAACGTGTTTTTTTTATTTATTTATTGCATACTTCTTCTCGTTAAGTCAGTATATTGAATTAACTACATTAATTACTGAGTTAGTTTCTAGTTCTAATCTATGTGGGTAGCTCGTTTTGATCAGAAATGATTGATTAATACATTAGTTGAAATACTTTGAAATATTAATCCGCTGGCCTGTGTGTTTGAACTGTTTATATTATCTTATTTTAAAACCTCAACATATCCTGACCGTACACGTGGTAAACATATATACTTCCGAAACCTTCCGGACTGTGGATCGGAAAGTCCAAGTTCGAGTCACTTTGCTCCAAATATAATGCTTATTCTAACATGTTATATGACCCTGCCATATAAAATATATTTAGAAATTACGCAAATCACAAGGTTAAGTGCAATAAAGTGAAGTTGCTTTCTTACTGTGCATTATAGATAATTCTATTAAGCCTAAGTTAAGAAAATCATTGAAACTTCATGTTAATATTGCGGCACTTTTATGCTAAAACTTGCTCAGTTAAGAAGACGTGATGCAAGTGTTTGAAAGTGACTAAATTCGTAACACGCACTATGTGTGCTGAATATCGAAAATATTCATTTCTAGCTTAATGTATAATTTTAGAGCGTGACATAGTTACGAATATATTAATTCTTCTTTTCCACACATACACATTAACATTTAGAAAATTAATCTAAAATCTGCATTTTTTCCGTATAATAAAAGCAAGTGTTTTTAATCAAATTTTCCTTAAAATGGTTTTCTCCCGAAACGTCATTGTCGAAGCCTTACGGTTATTATATTATTAAGTCATTGGTCATTGATTAACGCTTTATTCAGTTATTAAATTTCACAGACTTTCGAGAACATGGATCATGCGCTGAGAAGAAGAAAAACAAACTTAAGCACTGTATTTCTAAGGCTTAACCTGAGAACCTTGTGCACTGAATACTTATTATATAATTTATGTTCATAGCTTAGTTTGAGAATCCTGAATTCTGAAAAGCTTTTTAATAATATCGTACATTTTTTAACAAAATACGATAAACTTGAATAATACTGCACATCTTTACCTAATTCATCAAATACTTAGCACTGATTATACCATTATATGTATGTCAGTGCTCATAATTAATGCTGTTATTGCATGTACGAATTTTGCAAAATTCATGTTTTTCTTCTTCATTCCTTTCGACAAAATCAAGTACTTGTATTAATTCAAGTCAACGTAAAATGAAACAAATTACCGTACCTCTCACTGATATATCGTGGAACTTTTATACACAGACAATAAAAATACATTTATTTGTAAGTACTAAAGTAAACGTCCACGAGTTAATGTAGTAATAACCATACCTTGGGATTCTATCCTCCCCAAAAAACAAACGCACTACTATATACAAGTATCTGGTTCGTTGACACTGATCAAACCTGTGTCGACTGGAACATAAAAAGTGTATTGTAAACAACACTAATTTTCAAATCGTAACAAGAGATGCTACGTCTCGTGATTTCTTTATAAAAAAATCCGAAACTTTACACATAGAAAGAAGCTGTACTAAACACTAACATGCTTTCTCATTATGCAAACAGAAACGAACTGGTCTGTTTAGGTCCATTTCTTTGTTTACTGTAAAGCACAAAGCTGCGCAATATGCTATCTGTGCTCTGCCCGCAGAAATCGTGCTCCGAAATTGCGCTATAATCCTTCATGTTTAACATTGAGCCCACTGCGGTGGAAGGGACGATCTGTCGATACTGATGTGCTGGACTCAAGTATCTATAACTTAATCACTTTACATATGAATTAATAATGATTAAACACCTCTGTTTTTATTTAATCGTTCATCGAATTATTAAAACAAGAGGGAATCCCCAATAACTGCGGCACTTGAATTCTTTAAGGCAGGATTATAGTAAACTAATCTATGACTATGAGACCTTTGTTTCCCTTTTTATTAGCTATATATTTGTGCGCCAGCAATACTAAGCGTGGGGCGTGGAGCGCGCGTATACCCGATTTGAGTGTTTAATTCATCAGGATCTTTACCAGCCTACACTCAAATTGAAATTGTTTTAGGCAGGATTAGGGTAAATTAATCTATGAGACCTTGGGCGTAGTCAAATACATCAATCGAAAGGGTTTGACTTCCTGAGTCGAAAAAACAAACAAACAAACTGTAATTAGATCTCAAATCGGTCAGGAGATGACGGAGCTATGAGATAAAAGTTTGTACTTGAAAAAAAAATCTCAGAGCCGTTCTATGAGGCTAAAAAACGAGAGAGAAAAACAAACTAAAACCTGATGCGTATAAATACAGTCGATTTATCTAATGTTCTACGCGACGCCACCTTCAGTGTGGTTGAAATATAACTGAATATAACGGCTGGTTGATTGAATTTGCTTTGCGAATTATGGCTACTTCACAACAAATTCTACTTGTTCTTTATCACACATACACACTATAAACGTAAAGATAATTTACAATTTATACATCTTTCCATCATGTTTCTTATAATTGTTATAAGTTCAGATTTTTATTACTTTATTTACGGATCAGACTTACCGACTTATAGTTCTGATTATATATATAGTTATCTATTCACATAACGAAAAACAATGTACTCTACTTTTTAACAGAATTACATTCTCAAAATCTGCTTCATCACAGATAAGCTTTTTGAAATAACCATGAGTAGTCTACACTTAAAACTTAACATACTAAGATAGCCACATTTCAATCTGCTAAACCGGAAATAATTAGAAAACTGAGCGACTGATTCGGATATAGCTATTTCATTTTACTAGTATATATATATATATAAAAACACTACAGGTTGTGTAATCAATCATTTAATAAGAAATATGTCAGAAGAAAGACGCTGTTATTATGCTGGTATAAACTAAACGGTGCTAAAGAAAGATAGACAAAGATTACAATATGGTTATAACGAAGATATCAATTTTGGTTTTATTTATCTGTGGTAAATATAAATATTTACACATTAAGCTGTCACGTGTATATTCAAACAATAACATTTAGCAGTACAGTTTTAGTTCCACTTTTGATATCTCAAAAAATTAAGTGTATCACAGGAAGAAACGTCAACGTTCTTCTTATACAAATGTAATTAAAATGTTCGAATCAATAATATGACAAACAAAATTCACCATGCAAAGGTGCATGTGACTGAGTCCCTTACAAAGAATAAACAAATCTTAGACACTAATGTCTTTTCTTGGAATTAACTCTATTAGGTAGTCTTTAATGTCATTCATTCCTCTTATAATACAAATTGGTATTTTTTTTTTCGTTGGGCAGGTGTTTTTGAATTATATGGTAAAAAGTATTCAAAATCCAGTCCATATATTAATAACACATTTGTTCATTCCGTCTTCAACGTTCGCTACAGGCTACTTTTACTTGTAATTGTTTCAGTAAAATTCCGAGACTAATACCAAACACGCTTAACTCATCGAATTTTCTGTATAATCGTTCAAATAACGAAATAGACTCGATAAGTCTCACTTCTAACATTTATTTGTGAAGAACTTTTCTGGCACCGAACTTATAAACTCAGTGAATTCTCATTAGCTTCACTAACTAATTACTCGTGCTTATATGTATATATATATAATATACCCTCGTTTCTGGATGTTAGACGAAACTTCTCGATTATTACGTCCCCATGATTAGCAGCTCCCTCTGAAAAGATAACTTACAACTGTATCATTGTACTTTATTTTTACATACTGGTATGATGTAACTAAATCAAGATGATTGTTAATGATGAATACTCAAAATCCTTTTGAAGCCAGAAAATCTTTATGTCAGTTACAGTTACTGACTTACTTGATATTGTGGATTGATCACTCATTTTTTACTAGAACGTACAAACAAACTCTAGCACAGGAACTGAAGTGAAATAGGGCCAGTGACAAAGTTCGAACAGATAAAACTAGAGGTATAAAAATCACAGATATTCCTTGTTTCAAAAGTAAACTTTTCTTCTCCTCATTATAATATAAAAGTCCGGGGGGGGGGGAGGAGTTAAGAAAAACGCCCTTTACTCCCCAGATAACAATAAAAAATTTTATTCCAGAAACGTTTCGACATAGCAGCTTCATCAAGGATAGTATTAGTAGTACAACTACAAGAACTGATGCACTTGCAGGATTTCCTTCTTTAATAATTCGTTTCCAACCAGTTTTTTTAACGCTGAATTATTTATCCACTCGAAATGGATAATAATTAAAACTACAAAATGTGATAATAAGATTCACAACTTGTAAAAGTTAAATAATAGAAACAAAAAAGAAAGCGCGATCAAACATAATCTAATAATTTTATATTATGTAGACAAAAAACCCACCCTCTTCGTAAGCGAGCAACTAGCGGATCATGTAATCGTAAGCCTTAATATCGTTATCACCTTGCATTTGTTGCACCTGGCACACGATAGCCAGCTGTTTTATCTTGTTACTGTACAGGAAGATGACCCAACTTTATATATTACATATATCCTGGTGTTAGACTTCGAGACTAAATGTAATCGTCTGTACGAAATGTACGTTTACATATGAAAAGGTTGTACTCACCAAGTTTACTGCCTGTTTTCCTCTTCACCCTTAAACATATTGTCCTCGAACGAATACACTGAAAGAAAACATCAGGAACATGTTAATCCTAACAATTAGCACATCGTAGTTCAACCAACTCAACACGGCGTCTAGCGTTTACAGGAAATACTACCATACAAAACAGAATATACACGAACACTGGAATGTAACCTCACCACTCCAAACTCGTTGTTGACGAAGAGTGTGATATCCATGTGCCGGAAATAGGAAAGACTCATGGTACTCTTGGGGGTGCTTATATATGATACGATGCGTAAATAGGTTAAGTTACATCTGAGTTTCGTGATATCACAGTATAATACCGGTGTGATGTAAACGTAATAATGAAAAAAAATTGTTTTTTTTCTTTCTCTTTTCTTTATGTTCTCGCTTATCATCAAATTTCTCTTCATTTAATATTAATTAAAGATTTATTTCACAAACATATCGAAACAACTTAAGCTACTCAGACACTTTTTTTTTCTTTTTAGAACGGTAACACGTGTTCTTATTAAAGATAATGAAAAATAAATGGCGTAATTACTTATTAACCATATTCGAATCTCAAAACAACTTCAATAAAATGAAGTTAAAATACATTTTATTTCTGTAATATGTTATATATACGTAAAGGCTTCTGTCAAACTGAAGAAAAAAATCATTACGAATCGATATGCATTTCTCATTTAACTTCCGAGTATATCGAAGCCGTAAAAATAGGGGGCTTAACATAACATCACACAAATGTGAGGTTGTACTCACTCACATTATAAATATACGTATATATATTACCTCATATGAGTTTAAAGAGTCACGACACTGTTATTTATAATTGTCTTCAAAAAGATACCATAGATTGCGGAAACTACAGACAGATTGCAGACACTTTTTTCTTCTGTAACTACTCTTCACTAACCTGTCTTGTCAGATATTTTGGCCCTATGAGACTATGATACATATATTTTGTTTGTTGATGTCAAAAACTTCGAATGATATCTCTTATTTGTTATTTGCACTTTCAAAATATATAAGATTCCATATTTCGAATATTGAGCATACTTTAGACTATACATATCCTATATTAAGTTTTTGTTTTTACCATTATTGTTGTTAACATATATATTACTATGCTGTTTTAAAATACTAATAAGGTAATCAGCAAAGAAGAAAAGAGGAATGGATTAAGGCTACATTTGTAAGCTATATATTTTCAATGTTGTAACTTATTTGTTAGCTAGAGGAAGCTGCGGGTTTTTGATGATATAATGTTATGTTAAGTTCACGTTAGCCCTAGAAATACCTAGAACAAGGGTGGATTATAAAAAAGACATTCTGTAAAGCGTCAAGTTAGTTGAGAGTTGAGATACAAAAATGTCAGTTGCAATAAAAGAAAGTTTGTAGAAGTGAGTGGACTGATTGTATATGAGTCCTACTGTTGTTAGAGAAATATAATGTTATTTAAAAGTGGCTTAAGCTTGCAGAAACTTTTAAAGGATGGGATAAACTGATTTAATATAATTTCGTGGACCGGGCCTTGAATTATTTTCCCTTCATAATTTAAAATAACCTGCCAAGAAAGAACTACACTACAATGTGGAGTCAGATGTGGGATTATATGGCGAAAATAAAATAAAACATTGAATATACTTGTGTTGAACTTAACTGTGAAGATGGCGACTACAAGGTCAGAGAGTGAAAGCAAACTGTTATTTGAGATAACGAAATTATCAAGACAAGAATTAGAAGAAAAAGAATAGAAAAATAAAATATGACCTAAAGGAAGACCAGGAAGAATGAGTCAGAAAATTTGAAGAACCAGACAGAACATTAAAAGAAACAAACAAGAAGGCCAGGAAGAAAAGAGATAGAAAATTAGAAGAAAGAGACATACTATTCAAAGAAGAATTAAAAATAGAAATATATCTGATTGAAAACAAGATCAATGAAGCTGTAGGGGACGTACAGAGGGTTTCAACAACACGATTGAAGAAGTACAAATGGACGTTAACAAAGTTAAAAGTGAAGTACAATAAGACATGAATGAAGTAAAGAAAGATATCAATGGGGTAGAAAAAACATCACTGACAGAATAATACATCTAGAAAACAGATTATTAAACGCAAAGATCAAATGAACCACACCTTTTTTTTTGTATCAGCCCAAAAGTTCCAGCTTGAAACATCATCGACTGCAGGATATGGAATAGGTAAACTTACCTGGTCTACACCTATTACCATTACTGTTGTTTCATCAGTTACTGAAAGAGTTTCTTGGACTAATCCAACCATTACACTATCAAATATAGTTCTTGAGTTTAGCTGGCTAGTTCAGCATTGGCCAATCGAGAAGCCAACAAATTATGATGGAAAGCTACCATGGGAATCATACTAAGAGTTTGAAATTATTTCCAGAATGAAAGGGTGGAAGAGTGAATAATGAGCCATCCATCTTGCTACCTATTTAAAAGGACTGCTTTTATAAAATCAAGTAATCTTCCAGCTGAGAGATGTAATAATATGAAGCATTGGTAGCCACTTTATACTTCAAGTTCGGAGTTCAGCAGCACCAGAAAGAAGTATAGAGATTGAAATTCTGGAACAACGTACTGGGGAAAGAAAAGGCCTCAGCTGAGCTTACGGAAGATTTGGAACGGCTTGCCCAGTTATCTTACCAAAATTCTTCTCATGATGACGGATTCCTTGGCCTATGACCAAATTATAGAAGTCATGACCGACGAGGATATTAAGATCAGGCTGAAGCAAAGTAGGTGTCCATCTTTAAATGGTAGATCTGCAGTTGGGGATGGAAGTGAAATCCATCAACCTAAAAAAAACTCTGCAGTTAGAATTGGAACTGAATCCATTAAAGTTGAAAATAAACTACAAATGTGACCATATAGAAGTTTTGAAAATATTAGAACCTGTAGTACTAAAACATAAATTCCTTTTAAAGATAGTCTAGAAGAACTGAGAGAATTAAGGAAGCTTATGTCGCAGTTGTTTTACTGAATATACATTCCCTGTGTATATGTGATGATGTGTGATTGCTGTCCAACGCATCTGGTCCTAGAAACACATCAGCAAACTTCTTGCACAATTCACAGATTTCATGTTTCTGTATTGAAATCAAATTGTTTGCACAATCTTCAACTAGAGTATTTAGATGCATTGAAAGTTGTACGTTTGTTCTTGGACGTGATACAGTGGCTGAAACAGTAGCTAATTGGTTAGTATTTGTAACTTCTACCTCTGTTACCGTATCAATGACCATACCAGCAAGAAGATAAATACATAAATTCGATGGTTACAGACTAGCACTGATACTACACCTACACTTGGACAGATCATTATTTGAGCTAGTGCAGCTTCCTTTACAGAAAAGAAAACTGTTTCATACATTAGTTCGATCTCTGCAGCAGAGGTGGCAATATGCTATACTGCATCTGTAGTACACCAGAGAATACTACTTGCACATTAGGGAAATTAACCACATTTTTTTCAATATTCCCATTACGAAAGGAAAAATCAAAGACTTCCTCTACACCTCTGTCTAGCTTTTCGCCAGAACAGAGTTCATGCTAACTGGCCAAAATGGTAGCTCTAAATTGAATTCCTGATACATATAAGGTAAAGTAAGGTTCTTGTTACTGGCACATACTATATGATACCAATTTCATAATTCTTCAAACCAGTCATCATTACATTGGGTACAAGTTCACTGTCACATTTATCATGTTTGATGGTTAGATCTAGCTCAGACACTATCAGTTTAAACCAGTAGACACTGCAAAAGTAATTTCTCATGGTCGACCTTCCTGCATCTGTTGCAATGCCCATCTAAAAGGTGCATACATCCTACGGTCCTGTTTGGTGCTAGGATAAGAACAGTCACAAAATTAATAACCTTTTGGCACTTTTGGGAGTGCAACCCCAGATGCATTTGTGGCCCAGCCTGAGCAACTGGCCAAATAATCAATTTTGTCCCATAGGGAACCATTGGAGAAGAACCTTGATGCTTGCGGCATCTGCTGCATAGGAATGGATCTGGTGTTCAAAATTTTTGACATGGTTTTTAAACTTTTTAATCTTGAGGGCCACCATTGACCCTGGAGGCTGTTTCAGAGATGAATCTGCATCTAGCGTTGCTACTGCTTTTATTTTTTCTTCTGTTCCAGCCTATGGTTCAATGTGATCATTTCAAACTACCCTGCCACAGAAATAATCTTCTTGAGAACCGAGTTAGGAGTTCGCTCAGAAGCCCCTCACAGAACTTGTCAACGAGTATCTTATCACAATCTTTTGGAGACATGTTCATTAAAGTATTTCCATGCAATTGCCTTATTATTTCCACATAAGTGATAAAGGTTTCATGGGGCCCTCGCCTTCATGCTTTGATCTCAGACCTATAGTTTGCTCGATTCTTGACAGGGTAAAATCCGTGGTACAACGCATTAACAACTGTGACCCTGTCATCGAGCTGCTCCTTATCCAAGTGTACAAGGCATATAGCAAGGGACTATATAGACTCGCCATGAGACATTGAACCACATCTCCGTAAGTCCATCCATCCATATCAATAACTTGCTTTAAACATTTGAGGAAATGGTCCAATTTTTCTATTACCATTCCCTCAAACACTGGAAAGTGTATCTGTTTTACCTCGCCTTATAATTATGTGGTCGAGCTGACAGGAATTTGCTATTAGCTTCTTACCCCTGTATACCTCAGGGGCGGTGTGCATTTTAATAAGACCTTTTTCTTCTCCTAGAAGTTTAGATACATACGCATCCTCAATGGGATGACTCAGTACATGATAATGTGCGCAATCACCATGACATGAAATGTAATATCACACAATACCATCACATCACATCATGTGCTCGGCTGCCCAACATGGTCCATGGTGTTGTATTATTCCAGATATCAGGAAACATACATCTTCAAGAATGTGACTTCTTAGAGTTATGGTCACAGTGGAATGACTCAGCACATTGCGACAATGTGATACCACACTTCATTGGCACATCCTACCATGTCCTCTGCCACTGTATATGGGTTTAGAGCCTCGTAAGAACGCCTTGCCAGTTTGGAAAACTTCAGATTATCTCCTAATTCCACTGGATTATAACTTGATGCTAGACACCTGCTCCATCTAACGGTGTTGCAATGAAGTGTACCAAAAATCGTCCAGTGCGCATGTGTTGCCACTCTCCTGAGGCACAGGTGACTCATACAGTCCCAAAATGTTACTTTTTAGCTTGTTTGTGATATTCAGGTAAACTGATGTCGGACAGGTAAGTTTAAAAGCATTCACAACACACAGAGTCAGAAATTGTACTGCAGAGAATAATTTCGAATTTGAACAGTAAAGGTTTGTTTGTTTGTCTGGAATTAAGCACAAAGCTACACAATGGGGTATCTGTGCTCTGCCCACCAAGGGTATCGAAACCCGGTTTCTAGCGTTGTAAGTCCGCAGACATACCGCTGTGCCACTAGGGGGCAACAGTAAAGGAAAGAAACAAACACGAGTGAACAAATACACAAATCTTTATTTAAAGTAAAAAACAAAACACACCAAAAAACATGTATTGTTGACAAAATGTTAAAATGCAGTATACCAGAATCTAATACTACATACGTCACTCTAGTACATCTTTACAGCATTTTGACATTCGGTTAACAAGAATGTTATACTACAAGTAAAACACCTACATGAAAATTTATAAGAATTTACCTGACTGCATCTGACTAAAGATATACTCTAAACTGCTTACTATTTCAGTCATTACAGTTTCTTAAATATCTCAAATTAAATGTATTGGTCTCGATGAAATTCTTTACACAAGGACGTCCAGTAGTAAAATTGGGAAAATACACAAGGCCATAAGGAACACTTGGAGTTGGTGTTACTCTACAAAGAAACACCAACTTTGATGTTTAGAAGGTCTAAAAAAATAAGTGATAATACCTGGTTTGGATGTGATCCATCTATTAAACATTGGCGCAAAATCCGTTATCTGTACTGTGAAAGAAACCATCACAAGAAGAAGAAACAACAAGAGCAGTTAAAACAGTTTAAGGTTGAAAATAACTTATGAGAATGGTTGTCAATGTTCTTGGTCTTCTACCAATGTAAAAGATGAACTGATAAATAATGTGATCAGAGATATCATATGCCAAACCAGTCATTTGTAATACTGGTTCTGGTTTCGGTTAGCCAGGCGGTGGTAAAGTATGGTTATACAACTTTACGAGGAAGAGAGTAATCTCAAAGGCTAAACCAAAACCAATTTATCCCAGTTACATGTAACTGTAAATAGACATAGTTGGAATTGTGTTTGTTTTGAAATAAATTACCAGTTTTCTTGCACAGAAACAGAGAAATTTCAGTACATTGTTATTATAATTTATTTGTTTATATGATTTAATTTTTTTATTTCTCTACAATTCTGTGTGTAACTTCCGTGTGATTAGATAATGATAGTGCTGTATTGTTTTACCTGATGTATGTGAGAAATAACTTCTGTGTGAGTACAATTTTCTAGCGATTTTCCATTCACTTCCAAAATTTCATCTCCAACTTCTAAATCTGCTCGATCTGCTGGAGATCCTATATGTAAAGACAGAAAAAAGATACCACATCATACATACTAATAATATTGGTACAAGTTATTCAATTCAGAAAAGATGCATTTTCATATAATTTTCAGCACCTCTCCTTATTAACAGTTAAATTACATCAAACAATATTTTCACTTTCACAATATTTATAATCATTCAAAGAACATTTGTTTCTGTTAAAGTTAACTGTTTAAAAACTATTTCCCTCTTTCTAAAATATTCTACGTGTGAGGCTGTGTTAATTATTTTTGTTAATTATTATGATTATGTTTATGTTTGTTGTATTTTTTATTTATACCGTTTTAGTTGAATTGTTTTAGTGTTTTGAAATGTATTTTAGTATTTTGAAATGCCAACTCACTTCAGTTATGTAGTTAATTTTAACAAAATTACGGACAGTGAGTTTCTGACACGATAACTACAGTACATAACCGTATCTAGATAAGTTTGTCATAATATATAAACACGTCGATCAGATGTTCAGTCAACACCCACAGTAATTATGTGCTGAATTGTAAGTTCGCCACCTGGTACACATTAAAACTATTAATAAAAGGTAACATAAAGTTATACAATAGGCAGTCTGTGCTCTGTCAACAACAGGTATCGAAACCCAATTTCTAGCACTATAAGCTCTCAAACTTATCGTTAAGCAACCGAGGGCCAAAAGCAAACGAAAAGAAAAAAGCGTATGAAAGTGCTAAACGTTGAGAGGTGGGGAGATAGATATTTCAGGTGTAGAAATTAATGTGACCTCTTCTTACATTTCTACAGTAAATCCTGCTATAGCAGACTAATAAAAATAGTTATTTTGTATTAGACTACTTCAACGGATCATAAACGTAAGCTTGTATTATAATATGGCATTATACTAAGAAGTGCAAAACATATATAAGAGTTGAATTAAAATGGTGATTTCCTTTACATGCATCTCACCATGTCCCCAATTATCTGTTTTTATAAATAGGCCCCTAATTATCGCTCATAGATTTAGCTCATACATTTGTCATTTAAACCTAAAACTACCACCACTCACATCACTTGAATGTTGGTTATACAGTTAAAGAGAGATACACACCTGTTATGTATATATTCCCCTCTGAAGCAAAACTGAATTAAAGGAGAACACGTAAAGGAGTTCACACAATTTCATGTTCAGTGATTTTTATTGAAGAATGCAATTTACTCTTACCCTGTCAGTTATTGATAACAACAAATGTCTTGGCTATTGGGTATAACGATATAACAAAATGACATAATTTGAGTATCTACACTAGATATATGCGTAAAGGAATTCACGTGCTTAAAATAACTAATTTTATTGCAAGCTCCAAATGAACATACTCAAAATATCTCTTGATGCCCTGTGCTTAAGGTATGATCAAATCAACTTATATACTTCCCGGATTGATTTTAAGAGTCTAATATATTTTTATTTACTCAAACATTTGTAGTTATTGTCTTAAAAATAAACAACCGTAAAGGAGAACACATGATTACGGCGATATTTTTATATGTGAAAAAGTAATGGAACAGTCAGATAATAACAAATTTTCAAAACAAAAATGTTTACTAATTAATCACAATAAAGGCTTCAGTCATACTTAAAATTTTTGTGTTTGTGATATTGCTTTGAAATAAAAATTTCTGCTGGCAACATGCTAGTTTTAACAGCCCACCATTGTATATTTCTTTGGTTTGCTGGGAAAACTTAACACAAACTCAACATATTATATATGTTTGGAAAGCTCTGTCCATCGTCTATCATGTGAAAAATTATTATATGTTTGTGTACAGTACATACTCAGAAAAATTTGCCCCAGAACACTGGCGACATCAAATTGGACATAAGAAAGCCTGACCCATATACAGAAGTCATCATGCTAATCAAACAGCACTTAAAGGAGATGACCAAATATACATAAGAAATGTTGTTTTCGTGAAATACTAGAAATAAACATTATCCATACATATATTGTTACTAGATTATATTTACGTTTTACAAAACATGTTCATAACACATTTAGAAGAAAAATTAATCATTATTTCCCGTCATATGATGGGCATTCAGCTTGTTTGTAATAAGACGAATCTGAACTATCCGAGTACATATACACAATACTTTTTTCATTTCTAGACTCGTCATCCACCTGCATAGACTTCTAAGTGATTTCTTCTCTTAAAGTTGACAAAAATTGCACCAAATACGACATATTATTAAAATATATCAGAAAAAACAATCTCACCCTTTTCATTTAATGGATAGATGTTTAAAATATTAATTTTTGCTTCTAGGTCTTTTTTCTAATAAAAATTAAGGCTGGGTTTATACTTCAAAAAAGAAAATTTTAAACGAGAAGAGGAGCACGAGACTTAAAAGTTTGGACCATTATTTTATTTTTGTTTTTACAGTAGGTTTCTATTAAAAACTGTTTATAAACAATACCCATTCACTTTTTCCACTAACTGGCTATCAGACAGCTACCATCTCTGCTGGGCAATAGTTATCTCTATTGACAACCAAATATTTATAAATATCATTTTCACACTTGCTAAATTATCCGCTTCATTAGCCTTCTGCGATTTTCAGTAAACAGAATACATTTTCCTTATGTAGAATACGTACAATCAATTAGTAAACGTTGCGACTGGTTAAAGAACAACATAAATAAAAGACAAACAAGGTCGTAAAGTACAACAAAGTTTAGAGGCAGTCATAGTTTTGATATATTTGTTGAAGCCTTCAAGTCATTCCGGAAATTCTGTTATTGCCTAAATTACCTGTCAGAGATATATAACTTGGGCAGTACAATTATAAATGTCAGAAAAAATTCTGTATCGTGACCAAATATAGGCTTGGTTTTACCAATTAAAATCGGTTCAGATTACTAAATATACGCCCCCCAGTGGCACAGCGGTATGTCTGCGGACTTATACTGCTAGAAACCGGGTTTCGATACCCAT